GCTCTTGCAGGATCTACTGCTCCCACGGCTGGGTCCTCACGGCATCTGAGAGGTGGGTTGTGATGGACTGCCCATCTCACAGATAAGGAAACATAGGCCCAACCATTTAAAAATGCCTCTCGGTGTCACCTAGCAAGCCATTCGGGGCAGGGCTATGACAGGACTTCTCTCTAGACACAGTTGACTGTTCCATAAGATGGGGACAATGCTGATCTCTCTCAAGCCTCAGACTTGGGGAGGCCTTGGCATCCTCTTGCTTGGACCATCCGACTCTTCCGCCAGCCCTAACCACAGACCCTCATCTTTTGCTACTCTAGAATGGAGCCAGACGTACTTAGCTCTAAACTCCTGCCTGCTGCCCCCTGGCTGTGTGACCTTCGGCAGGTGTTTAACTTCTCTGGTCTCTGACATGGTTCATTTCTGACTTCCAGGGCTGTCAGCGGTATTAAATGAGACTGCACAGGGAGGATTAAGGGCCCTTGGGCAGCACGTATCCTTTGCAGATACAGTCTTGTCACTCAGGACCAACCAACAATGACCTCCAAATCCAGGTGTTGAGGACATGTCACAGTGGGTGGACCAGCGAGGCCTAGGTTCTTATCCTGCCTCTGCCCTGCCCTGCTGACAGCATCAAGCTTGGTCTCTGCATGCATAAAAGGCTCTGTTCTCCCCAGAAGAGGCTTTGGAACCAGAGAGGCCAGGGAGGCCAGCAACCGGCTGCAGATGACCAGAACGCAAGAGACAGAAGTGGTATTTGGTTTAAGTCTCCATGGTTCCCGACACCACAACCTAGGTGCTCCTGTTACAGGCTACCCATCCCCTTCACCCAGGTTGCCACACTTCCACCTCTAGCTCACCCCAGAGAGCCTGTGCTGTGGATCTGGGTTTGGGCTCTGAGAATTCAGAGCAATTAATAGTTCAGGTGTTCACAGCTGGAAGCGAGGCCTTTTGTTGGCAAGTTAATCCACCTCTCTCTGCCCTGCCCTGGCGTGCTCACCTGTATACGGAGTCCTGATGTCCTGTGATAGATACTCCAGGTCAGACAGCCGTGGGTTCTCAGAGCCCAGAGCCTGGCGCTGTCTACAGGAAGCGGAAGTATGGGTCCCTAGAAGCTGGAAGGGCCTTTCCTTGGTGTCCCCTCCCAAGGCCCCACAGACTGACCCCCCACTTTCTCACTCTTCTGTCCCCCCATCCTGCTACCCTCAGGCAGTTTCAGGTCCTGTTTCTGCTCCTGGGGAGGGAATTACTGGAAACGGTGGCTGTGGCCAGCACGGTTTCGTCAACTCAGCACCCGGGCGGGAGGGGGTGAGAGGATAGCCTGTCCTTGGGGACTGTCCCCAGCAGGCTGCTCGCTTGCCAGAGCTTTGTGAGCACATGACTTCCATGGGGACTAGTGATCCTCCATGGATGCTCATCTAAGGCCTGTGCCCGGGCTTCACAGCCAGAGACCCTGATCCCTACCACAGCTCTGCCACTTGCCAGCTAAATTCTCTCAATACAGGGAAGCCAGGGGGAGCCCCAGTTTTCCCCACTATGTGATGGAGCCATGGCTATATATATTCGGGCTCTCACAAGCCTCCAGGAAGATAGAGAAGCAGGATTGGAGAACAGACAGAGCAAGCTAGCGCACCCAACCCATGAATTGTGAATGTCCCTTCGTGTCCTCGGCGTTCCCTTTCTGGCCTTATCTCTTTCTCTGCCTCCAGCTCTCCACCTCTACCCTCTTCTCTGTCTTCAGAAAATAATCTAATAATGAATTTTAAATGTATTCATTACTTATTCATTCCCCTCCTTCCACTCCCAACAGGGGCTCGGAGCCCTTGACAATAATAGCCACAGGCAGGGGTCGGTTGCATGGGGATCTAAAGTGGACAGAGCTGCAGAGGAACTTGGAGGTCACTGTGACCACCCTGTTCCTCCTTTTACATTCAGGGAAACTGAGGCTCAGAGGCAGGATCAATAGGTCTTTTGTGCTATATAGCTACAGTTACTGTGAGGTACAGCCTGGGGGAGAAGACCCCAAGTAGGAGCAATGAGTCCTTTTCTATATTTTTTGGTTGTGAGCCTAGCCTTTAACGGCCGAGCCATCTCTCCAGCCCTATGAGTCCTTTTCTATAGCTGGGATTGGACACTGAGTGTTTCTGTGGTAAATGCCATTGAAAAATCAGAGAGTCTCAGAACCCATCTCTCAGGGCAGGGCCTGAAGCCAGAGCGCTCTGGGGCCAGGGTCTAGTTGTGCTGCTGTGGCCCTATCTATGGCCAGGGATCACACCGTTCCAGGATGGATACCCAGCGGGTGCAGGCACTGGGCTTCCCTGGAAGCTCAGAAAGGGATTAGTATTCTGCTTGGGGCGTTGCCTGTGGATGGAAATGGGGCCTTAACTACAGGTAGGAGAGGGAAAGAGGAGGTAAATACAATGAAACCAGATCTCTAGGCACAAGAGAAGAGAGAGCTGAGGGCTGTGTGTTCGGGGGACCCTCGTTGTTACCTATATAGTTCTCACAGAGGGTCTTACTATGTAACCTAGGTTAGCCTCAGACTCCTGTGTCTCTGTCTCCTGCGTACTGGGGTTACAGGTATGCCTCAGGACACTCAGCCTCAGGTCCTCCTGAGGGTCTCATGGCCACCTACTCTGGAGTTGCTGGTGCCTGAGGAAGTGCCAGTAGGAAAAGTTCAGCCTGAACTTGAACCTGGAGAAGCAGCAGGGTGAAGAACAGGAAACAGATGCGGTGGGGGATTTGCGACAGCCATCTCAAGTTTGAACTCCAACTCTCCAATCATGGGGCCTTAAGCCCGTGACTGACTGGGGTTCCCTCAGCTCTTCATCAGAGATAAGAAAGCCTGCCTCCTCTGGGGCTGTTGGTGAGACAAGGCAGGAACCTTACAAGTCCAGGGCCAAAGTGCCCTCAGACACAGTATATCTGTATTTAGAGGAGCCAAGCTTGGAGCAGGCAGGGTCTATACCTGGGGCTCAGGAGCGGAGGGTCCCTGAGGCTTGGTGCCTGAGTGAGAGGTAGTGTCTCTTCCTCCACTTCCTGATAGAGGGATGACACCTACATGTGAAGAAAAATGAGAGAAACCCCAGTTGCCCAAAGAAGTCCCCTGAAATAAGGGCCTCTTTCTACTTCCTGCCTTGTCCCAGCCCTCAGAACCCACCTGCTCCACATGGCCAATAGGTATGGCGTATTCTAAGGTCTGCTCATCCTGATGTAGCAAGGACCAGGGAACAATTATGGAGGAGAAGGAGTGGGGGACGACAAACCTTGTTGTTCGTTTCCCAAGTACAGCTACTGGCTCTGTCTCCAGAGCTGACAAAAGCACAGCATTGATTTTTGTTTTTAAACCAAAGAAAATTCGAGACCAGCCTGGTCTACAAGAGCTAGCTCCAGGACAGGCTCCAAAACCACAGAGAAACCCTGTCTCGAAAAACCAAAAAAAAAAAAAAAAAAAAAAAAAAAAAAAAAAACAAAGAAAAATGAGAAGAAAGATTTATCACACGGGGCATCGCTGGGTGAACGGCTAAGTGGCTGATGGAGGGACAGCTGCGGATGCTGTGGCCAGTGACCCAGGCTGGCCCTGCCGAGTGCCCAGATGCTGTGAGCCAAACGGTTTCCTCAGCCTGGCCTTCTGCTCTGTGTGCGTGCGTGCATGCATGCATGAATGCGTGTGTGCATGTGTGTCTGTTCCCTTGCATGTGCATATGCATGCATCTTTATTTCTCTCTGTGGCATTTTATCCATTTCATGAACCTCTACTGCATGCCAGGTGGGCGTCACAGGATTCCCACAGAGGGCTGCTCACAGTCCCGTGGGGAACGCTGAACCGTGGACAAGTGACAAGGGCTGTTCTGCGGGCCATGGGACCATGTGCACCAGATTCACCCGCAGCCCACCTACTGCTGCCTTCAAACAAAAATCTAGTTTCGTTTTAAATGTCTTTAGGCTGGTATTATATACTACCAGGCTTGGGAAACTAGGCTCTAAAGAGTCCTGAATTTGAAGTCCAATGAAAAGCGTTCTAGGGACTCATGGGGGAGTCAGGGCAGGCCTCATGAAGGACGTGATCTTGGTTGAAAGACATTGCCCGAAAGTGTGTGGATAGCTTCCATAGAGTGAAGGGACAGCCAAGGTGGAGGCATTGATATGTGATGTGACCCCAGGCAGGACGAAAGGGCCAAACTGGACACAGAACAATCATTCGCCTGGGTTGAGGATGACTTATTTTATTCTTTATTGGTGCTAAGGATGCAGGCTAAGCTGCATCCTTGTGAGCCTCATGTGTCAGGCTGAGAGCCCAGCTGACTGGGACTGCTTTTCCCAGACGGGGAGGCCTCCCTTATACCTCTCTGCCCCAGACAGTTGCACGTTGTGAGTTTTTTTAAGTGGTGTATGTGTCATGGGGTGTATGCACACTATGAGTACAGGTGCCCGTGGAGTGCTGAAGAGGACATCAGACCCTTTGGAGTCCCAAGCAGTTGTGAGCTGCCTGATGGGAATGCTGGGAGCCCTCTGCACAGATAGCAAGCGCTCTTAACCACTGAGCCATCTCCTCTAGCCTGACGACTGCACTTTGCATTTTCTGAACTCAGGTACCCCCAGGGGCCTCCCTGGTCCTCTGAAGGCTGCGGTGGCCAGCCCCTGACATCAGAAATTTTATAGATCAAACGTGGCAGCTTAAGGGCAGTGATGTTTTAGAGAGCTTCCTGGGGCTCCTAGAATCTGTGTGCCAGCCGTCAGGGTGTGCTCCTCTCTGCTATCCACATGTCCATGTTCATCTCAAAGCTGGAGTGGGAATATTAGGCACTGAGAAGGACTTGCACTCTAGCTACTATGGGTTTCTATGGGCTCATTCATTTGTTCGTTAATCTGCATACTTCAGCAGTCAGTACTTCATCCCAAATCATCCCCTCACTCAGCACGAACTCACAGATGCAAAATTGTACAACCCAAGTTCAAGGCCTTCCAGTGAGAAATCCGGGCCACACATATTTAGTGACCTTTTTATTTATCTCCCCACCTGAAAACAAACAGACAGTCTCAAGGTATTGGCAAACTGCCACAGGAATGGTATCAGTAGGCAGTTCCTGAAGAAGCTGGGTCAGGACCCAGGCAGACCTCCTGGAGGAAGAGGTCAGCAGTGTGGAAGGGTCTGAGTGAGAATGGAGGAAGCCGAGGAAGTGAGGCGGGGGGCTGGGGGCTGGGGGCTGGAGCCCGCCTGCCACTCTAGTCAGGAAAGAGCAGGAAGCCCGAGAAGACGCTGTCCGAGCCCTCAGTGCCCACCATGCCGTTGTAGTCATTGACTTCCAGCCACACCTCATCGCCCCTCTGCTGCCGCAGCAGAGCTCCTCCTGAAGTGACCTGCTTGATATTGGCCATGTGGTCGCAGAAGCTGGCCACCTTGGCATGGTTGTGGTACATCTGCACGCACAGGTTGGCCGTCAGTGACGCGTGGTAGACAAAGTAGTAGAGGCCGGGCACTTTGCAGGTGAACTTCCCCGTGCTGGTGTCATAGTCCCCCTGGGGGTTGGTGATGACAGCATTGAACTTGACCAGGCCGTTGGCTGCTGGGTACTGGGAGGTCTGCCGGGTGACGGTGAACACTGACTGGTGCTTCTGCTTGTATCGGCCCTCCTCACCCGGCTCCCCACGAGGTCCCATGGGGCCTGGATCCCCTGGCAACCCGAAGGTCCCCATGGGGCCATTTTTCCCACGATGGCCAGGCAAGCCAGGCTCGCCCTTCTGACCCTTGGGTCCTCGTGCCCCTGGGATGGCTGGGATCCCTGGAAAGAGAGCAGACAGGAAGGGATAGGGAGCAGGAAAGGGGACCCCAAGTGGGTTTGGCAGTGACCTCTAGCCTATATTTCCCAGATGGCTCTGGCTAAAGGGAGGGGGCAGGGTGTGTGTGTGTGTGTGTGTGTGTGTGTGTGTGTGTCTCCTTTAGTCCTGCCCTTGGCCCATCCCTGTCTAACTTTCCAAATCTGTGGTGGAAGGAGAGGAGCCCTAGAGGCAGTGAAGGACAGTGGAACAAGAACCACTATGTGACTTTGAGCTTGATCTCTCTGGACCCCAGTTTTGACATTTGCAAAGTAGAAGCAAATCATGCATCTAAAGGATTTGGGCCTCGGTTTCCCCATTTGTAAAGCATGGCTGAGAAGGTCATCTGCTCTGGAGGTGAACGTGCACCGTGCTCAGAGAACACCAGAGCTGAGCCTGGTACCACGGAGATCACAGAACTGTCCCTGGCCAGCCTATGAGCAGGGTTTTCTAAAGTGCAGTCCTGGGGGGCCTCATGGGCTCCCGTGAAGTGAGTAATTCCTTCCAGAGTCGCAAGCTTCCATTCTGCGGCTCAGAGGAAAGAGGGCCACATTCCTCTGTCCTCGTGAGTTCTGTTCAGTCCTACCCAGCCTCCCTCATGCCCGCATGCCACTGATCCCTCAGAGAAGCATGTTCACTTGGAGGAGGGAATCACCACACCTGCGCTCCCCTCCTCCCTAAGCCTAGCTGTCCACTCCTTTCCACAGCCCTTCCCTCACACCAGAACACCCATCAGAACATTCTGGGTGACGTTCTGGCCACCTGTCCCTGGCTTCTTGATTGACAGAGACCATCAAACCTGCCAGGTGCTTAATTTTGCCACATGTGCAAACTTATTCAAAGCTGTGACACCCGGAGGAGCAGGGACTACAGCGCCTGTGTCGCAGATGTGGAAACTGAGGCACTGCGTGGTTAAGACACCTGTGCAAGCTGGCACAGGAGGTGGTGGGTGTGGCTTTGACCCTGCAGTTAGTGCACCCAGAACGACCAGGGTGGGGCACCTTTCCTAGGTGTCCACCTGCATAGTTAGCAGGCTGTTGCCTGCCCATAGGGACAGTGGTTCTCCTTAACTCACTTAATGAGGACAACAAGCTACAAGGTCACCAGAGTCAGCTGGAGGCTGAAGCCTGGACTCTGAGGACGCAGGAACCAGACCTGCCGAAAGAGAGGCCCATTGACTCACCTGGCTCACCCTTTGGCCCCGGGAGTCCATCATGCCCATCCTTCCCAGGAGTCCCCGGCAGTCCTGGTATCCCTGGGATTCCATAGCAGCTGGTGCTGGCCTGGCCCCTGAGCGGCAGAGCCAGCAGAAGCAGCAGCAGGTAGAATCCATGTTGGGGCTGGCAGCTGGGTCCTACATCCATCCTGAGGAGGGGCTGTGGGGTGGGGTAGGGAGATGCTGGTACTGAGCTCCCCACTTGCCCTTTTTCCCCTCACTGCCCTGCCCCCTTCCATAGCCCTTCACCCTGGGGAGCCCACATCCATCCACAGATGAGGGTTGGGTGGATCATGGACAGATGGGAATAGTCGGGTCTCTTCCAAGGCCCAGGACTGGGCTCAGCAAACAGAGCTAGTCCTTGTCCTATGGTTTAGGAAGGGAGCTGGACATGGGGGGGGGAATTGCATCTCACTCCCACCGGGGCAGGGTCCCAATCTCACCTGAGGGTGTCAGGCCTAATCAAGGAGATGTCCTGTTCTCCCAGGCAGGAGGACAGAATGGACAAAGAACTGCCCAGGGTAGGCTCTGGTGCCCCTCCCCCTACATCACCCTAATCCCACATCCTCTTTCCAGCAGTTTCTCCTGACTTGACACTTTCTTTTAGGTTCTGAGCCAGGCTGACCACAGTGACACCTCTGTCCACCCCTTCCTTCCCTGGCCATAGGTCATGTGTGATGAAATGGGGAAGTATCTGCTGTCCCCTCATCCTGAGAACATGAGGGTGCGTGCGTGCGTGTGTGCATGTGTGTGTGTGTGTGTGCAAGTGTATGTGTGTTGCATGTGTACATGCATAGACCTGAGCCCAGGGCACAGCTGCCCCCAGGGGCAGGGTGGCCATTGAATTTGTAGTCCCTCTACGGCATTTGCCATGCCTGAGTCCCCATGTCCTTCCATCTCCCTGAGGGGAAGTTATAGTCCGTCTTCCAGAAGAGGAGTCTGAGGCTTGCCCTAAGTCACACACTGGATGGTTGTCAGGGTGACCCCTGTGCTCATCAGCTCCCCCAAAACAAGTTTCACATGCAGCTGTCAAGTGGCGGGCTTGTTCTAGAAAGATCCACACACCCATTCCATTGTCAGGCTCGGGGAAGGATGCCAGGGTGAGCTTGCTTTGCCTCAGTGCATCGGCTGGTCTGGCTAGAGAGCCGGAGCCTCAGCTTTTCCTTGCTGGTGACTCCCTGATCTGTAGACACATCGCTGCTCTGCAGGCCCATTTCCCCACTGTTTGTGGGGAGCCAGGGCATGACTGGTACTAGCTGTCTCTTTCCTGGTCTCCCATCACCTTGATGCGCATCCCCAGCCCCATCATCCTGACCCCCACCTTGGCTCTGGTCGTAGGGCTTGTGGTGGTCAGGCCAGATGTCCCCTTGTCTATTTTTTCAAGTGAAACTTTTAGGATAAAAGGAAGTTTGGAGTGGCAGAGTATCCCAGCCTTGCCCCTTTTATTACTTGGGCTTGGGTAGGGTTCCGTGTAGGTCACCATGCATGTGCTACACCCTGGTCCACGCTAGCAGTCCAGGCTGCCTAGCTAAGTGGTTCTAGGGGTCTTGTTTTTCCAGTCATTCTGAAGATTCCTCCCCGTATAGCCCAGGATATGCCGTGAGGCCAGGGTGAGGACCCACTGGCATCCCAGGGCTGGGAGGAACAGACATAGTATGTTCTGCATTGTGGGAATGCTGTAATGGACTCTCCTCTTTTCTGTCTTGGTTGCCTCTGGGCCATGTTTATCTCATCCAGCAGGTGGCAGTCTCGGTCTGTGCTCAGCCCTCTCTGCCCCGCCCACCTTTCTGCCTGGCACAGCTTCCAGTCTCAGAGGAACTGAGATTTGCAGGTGAAAGGATGAGACAGGCTGGAATGCAGGCTCAGGAGGGGTTCAACACTCCTCCCTACTGGTTCCTACATTGCCCCTCCTTTCAGGACCCCACAAAGTGAAGGGAGCCCTCCACTCTGGGGCCAGACAGCCTGGTTTAGATCCTCCATTTTCCAGCAAGGTGGTTTGACTCCTGCTTCCTTTCACGGAGCCCCAGTGCCCGCAACTGTTTGCATCCCACGCCTATGCGAAGCCAGCACATGGGGTCCTCAAAGCCAATGTCTTTCCCAGCCTGTGGGGGTGTACATTTAGGGGTCAGGGAGAGCTAGGGACAGAGTGGATGGAGGAAAAGTCAAGGAGCTCTGAGGGTCATGTGGTGGCCTGGAGCTGAGAGGGCCCACTCTCCCTGGAGTGTCCCACTTCTTTCTGACCTCAGAGGCTCCTAGCTGGAGGGACGGGACATGCAGGATGTGTTGGGGATAGCTCTGAGACCAGGGGCACCAGCCAGTGAACAGGAGGGATCATCATCCCTGACTCTGAAGTGTGAGCACACGGGGTAGGGGTTAGTGTGGGAGGAAACACAGGCTTTCTTACTGCTGTGCATGTGCGAACATGCACATCTATCACAGGTGTGCAGGAGTGTGTGCGCGTGCATATGTGTATTTGGAGAAATAACGTGTGTGTGCACGCGCAAGTGCACATGCACGCGTGTGTGCTTGGAGAAGTAACTAGTGTGTACCTCTAAGGTATACCTAGTGTGCTAGGAGGAAGTCTATGGGTTCATGTTTTGGTGAGGAGTGGGTGAGTCTCAGCCCAGGAATGGGGGACAGTGTAAGTCTTGAGGGTAGCGTGTGATTGCTGTGAAACTGGGTGTGTAAGGCTCCGTGTGCGATTGTGTATGAGACCGTGATTGTGGGAATACTCTTGAACATGCAGCTTCCTCATCCGCTCCCCCTCCCCCCTCCAGGCTGCAAAGCTGTCAGGATAGTCTGCTTGGAAACTCCTCAGGAAACCCAGCTCTGGGAAAGACTGCTGTGTGTCCCTGAGCCCCTTGTTTGCCCTCTCTGAGCTGGGCTGGCAGAAGCACTGGTGGGATTGATCCAGCATAGCTGGGAAGACTGGGAGGGGGTTGGTCAGCCAGCCCGACATCAGCCCAGCTCCTCCCCTGAGGTGATGACCTGGGGCTTGATGGCCCCTGCTCCAGCCTCAGTGCCATCATCTTGGACACACGGTAAGAACACCCACCTTGGCACTTGGCTAGCAAGATGGAACAGAACAGAACAGCAATAGGCCCTGCCTGCAGTTTTCACACACTGATCCACAGCAGCCCCACCCCCAACCCTGCATCAGAGCTTCCATTACCAGCACCATTTAGCAGATCTGTAAACTGAGGCCACTCCGTGTGATCTGGCAGCTAGCAGGGGGTGACATCTAGATTGGAGCCAGGCTGATATCCCCTTGCCCCCTGCCCACCTTTGTGTACAGTGCTAACACTGCAGTCTCTCAAGCAGTCAGCAATGGCTGGTTTTATGCCTCCTTCCTGCCCAGTGCCCAGAACAACCACTACACCTCACGCCACAGATACAGATGGGGTCATTTATTCCAGAAAATGCTTGAAGAAACCCCTGGGCCGTGTGCAGAGAAGCACCAGTCCTCAGGGTCCTCCAAGCCAGCCCTGCCCCCGGGCAGCTGAATCCCAGGTTCTAGTTCCTTCCCTGAGCAGAGAGAAGGGGTCCAGGGCAGGGTCCCCTAACAGGGAGTGGAGGAATGTGGGGTGGCTCTCCAGCTCAGGCTGAAGGGAAAATGAGAAACCCACTGAAGATGCTGTCGACTTCAGGACCTTGGTAAATGCGACCCTTTTCGGGGTCCTTCTCGATCCACACTTGGTCCCCCCTCTGCAGCTGGAGCACAGTACCCCCTGAGATCACCTGGAAGAGCCCCTTGCTGTTGGCATCACAGAAACCCAGGGAACTCCTGTCTCGGCCCTGGGAGGAGGACTTGATAAACAGACAGAGATCCCACTTGGAGGTCACTTGGAAGGTGAAGTAATAGAAACCAGGCACCGCACAGATGAAGCGGCCCGTGTTGCTCTGGTATGGGCCCTCCTCGTTGGTGATGACCTGGTCGAAGATAATCACATGGCCATTTGTCAGTGGGTTCTTCCGAATGGCTGAGAAAGCTGGCCTGGGCTGGTCTCTGATATTGCCTGGGTTGCCTTTGATGCCCTTCGGTCCTGCGGGGCCTCTGCTCCCCGGGGGCCCAGTGGGCCCTGGGAACCCCATGTTGCCGGGTTTTCCAGGGATTCCATCCTCCCCCTGGTCTCCTTTAAGGCCTCGGATGCCCGTCCGGATGCCAGGAGCTCCTGTGCGGAAAGAGCAGATTGGTGGATGAGGGCATCATGGGTATGGAGTCCAGAGCTGCCAGTCCTCACAGAAAAAGCCTTTGCTTTAAAGAGACTGAGTCAGACTGGTCTGACTGGCTGTGTGGCGCTGGGCAAGCATCCCAACCTCTCCGAGCCTCTGCTTCAGCCACAAAAACAGGGCTAAGCAAAGGCAGTCCTGTGACAGACCCCGAATTCTAGGAAATGTGGGGCTCTCTGACTGCTCAGTTGAGTTCTGCCCATGACTGTGTCACCTCACATGTCTCCAGGTCACCAACTCCTTTCTCAGATTTGGGACCTTAGACGGGGACAGGGTGTGTGTGTGTGTGTGTGTGTGTGTGTGTGTGTGTGCTTGTGTGTCAAATTGTCAGTGTTGGTGAGGGTCCCTTTCAGCCTGCTGAAGACTCAGAGACGGAGGATGACAGGGGACTTTCCTTCCTCCCTTCTAGTCCCCCTCAAGGTGTTCTAACAGAGTAGCGTGGGCAGGGGGGCAGGGATAGAGTAGGGGGCTGGAAGGAAGCGCGAAGAGCGGTTGTTATTGGCTGATTTTTCTTACATGGTTTTTGGTTTCTTTTTTTTGTTGTTGTTGTTTGTTTTTGTTTATTTGCTTGTTTGAGACAGAGTTTCTCTGTGTAGCCCTGGCTGTCCGGAGACTCACTTTGTAGACCAGACTGACTTTGAACTCACAGAGATTCATCTGCCTCTGCCTCCAGAGTGCTGGGATTAAAAGTGTGCATTACCACCACCCAGCCTAATTTTTTGTTTGCTTGCTTTTGGGTTTTTATTTTTGTTTTTGTCTCTTTTACAGGCCAGGCAGGGCTCATTGCTATGGGTTGACTTTTCCCTACACCCCAGGCAGGGTTCTGCCTCCATTTTACAGAGAGGGTCTGTAACTTGTTTGAAGTCAACCAACAAGGCAATGGCTCCTGACTGCAGATTCTAGGCTCTGTTATTTAGACCTTTGGCATCCATCCTCCATGTAGCCTATTCTGCAGAGGAGGAAATGGGAGGGTCATGGAGGAGCTAGAAGGGTCACAGGGAGGCCTGGGGTCAGGGACAAGGTCCCAGAGAGAGAAGGCTGGGCCCACAGTTCCCGGGAGAACTGCACATTGTGATGGCTTCCTGGAACCCAGACACACCACTGCTTCTCAGGACCGTCCCTAGGCCATTGCTTTGAGAACGGCAGGATGGGGCCCAGGAGAGAATTCTTACCTGGTTCCCCTCTCTCTCCTTTGAGACCCGGCCTCCCTGGGCGGCCAGGATTTCCTGCAGCCCCATCCTTCCCATTGGGTGCTCGGCAGACATCCTGGGTCACTGTGGATACCAGGGTCACGGCCAGCACACAGGCTACCAGCCATCCCTGAGAGGCCTCCATGACGTCCCTG